ATCTGATCTCTGTGAAGTTGGTCCCAATCTGCACCCATCTGAACACAGTGAAACATTATATACAACTCATAGCCTGTATTAACACAATGCCAATTATCAGAAAGTGAACTAATATTCAACACCCTAAGATGGAAGTTCTCAGAAAGCACATGCAAGCAGGAAGGACATACTGTCATATTTGAATGTTATGCAATACTTCATTAACACAATTGTCAGCAAAAATTCGCAAAACCTCAGGTTATCTCCAGTGTGAGATGTTATCAGACTTCTTTGTAAACCATTAAGCTTTGGAGAAAAGGTATCTGAAGATACCCAAAAAAGGACACAAGTGGCTTTCAGCATATTCTCTACATATTGCACCATACAACGAAAACAAAAGGAGACTGTGAAGAGAGGGTAGAAAATATTCCTTCCTCTGTGTGACTGCTCTCCTCTAATTTACTGCATTCTGTTACAAACTTATAACCCAATTCTGTGAGAAATAAATGCTCTTTGATGGATTTAAGTCTTTAGCAAAACCAGGCAAAGACCATGAGAGAGTCACCTTCCTGATCATATTAACAGCAAAACTCCTGTAATTGAATGCATCAAGTTAACACTACAACACATTAAAGGGACAATTTATACTAATTAATTGTCCAAACTGTAGGTCTTATTAAAAATAAGAGTATCATCACAATAAAATGGTTGTTATAAATGCTAGAGCACTAAAATAAACCAGCATCTGGCAAGCTCATCTTAATGTTTTTTAAAGTGTGTGTGTGGGGGGAATAGAAACAACTCTAAGCAACTTCATAGAATCATAGAATCGTTTAGGTTGGAAAAGACCTTTAAGATCATCAAGTCCAACCGTTAACCTAACCCTGCCATCCCACCACTAAACCATGTCCCTAAGCACCTCATCTACCTGTCTTTTAAATACCTCCAGGGATGGGGGACTCAACCACTTCCCTGGGCAGCCCATTCCAGTGCCAGGCAACCCTTTTGGTGAAGAAATTTTTCTTAATGTCTAACCTAAGCCTGCCCTGGTGCAACTTCAGATCATTTCCCCATGTCCTATCACCTGTTACCAGGGAGAAGAGGCCAACCCCCACCTCCCTACAGCCTCCTTTCAGGTGGTTGTAGAGGGCAATAAGGTCTCCTCCTCAGCCTCCTCTTCTCCAGGCTAAACAACCCCAGTTCCCTCAGCCGCTCCTCATCAGACTTGTGCTCCAGACCCCTCACCAGCTTTGTTGCCCTTCTCTGGACATGTTCCAGCAACACAACATCTTTCTTGTAGTGAGGGGCCCATCTTCCCTTACTCCTGTTTCTAGAAATAATATAAATCAATACCTACAGCACTAACGCATTCCAATACCAAGAGGATCCTCCTCCAGATCTATGTCTACAGGTACAACTAACCCACCCTTGTACAGAGGGGATTAGCTTCAAAACAGCACTGTCCTACCTCTTCCTTGGCCTTGGGAAGCACATTCACAAGGGGAGAAAACACTGTAAGATTGGGGTCATATGTTACCTCCACTTTCATCCCTGGAGAGTTTACAGGAAGAGAATGAACAGCACAGAGGAAGTTTTACAACAATGAGGTACCCCCAAACCAATGCAACTAGGTGTGGTAAATACAGTCAAACAATACTGAAGTGTGTTTCTGTACTAGATTCTTCATTAGACATCAGCTACTTGCCGACAGCCTTGCACGTGTTCAGTGAGAACAGATATGGAAATTGAGATTTAACCTAGTCTCTAAAATGATTGCTGAAAAATACTTTTTAAAAGCACTTACTTGGTTTACATCAACACTATTTATTTTCTTTTATACAGATGGCCACTCTATTTTGTACCTAGATTTTCATTGCAGCACTTAATATTGTACAAGATTGCTATTTGTAACGGTACAAGAATCTGCAAAGTAACACGGAGAATACCATACCTTAGAATACATATTTCCTCAATGCAAAATCAAGAAATACTGATTAAAAAAATGTATCACCTTGTTTTATAGTAAATGCAAATGTACTATAAAAAATGTTCCCAAGAAACATCTGGTTTGTATTCACACCAGTTTGGTTTAAATGCTTATGTCAACAGACAAGCCTCATATTCCAAGTCTAAGTGAAAACAGACCTTTTCAGCAAATTCAGCCTCACCCTAATTCCCTCTGAAATAAGTGATAATTTCTACTTGATTGGGTGCAGAATGTCATCCACTAGTGATAAAACTCAATGAACTTAAAAATCTTACCTTTAATAACCAATTCTAACCTCACCCCATCATCACTGATCTCAGTGACATAGGAACATATTTTAAGAGATCACTAAATAAACAAGCATGCGCCTTTTTAGATTTGAAATTATATTGTTCAAAGAACTGACAACAAGCATAAAAATGAATCATAATAACCTTTATTACAGATGCACTCTTATTTTCAACAGCTGAAGACTGTTTCTTTTCAGTGCCAAATAACTTAGCATTTAAGCAGAACAGCAATCACAAGACAAAACCAGCAGTTATGAAGTAGCAAAAGAATAAAACCTGAATTTCTTTATCTGCATTTTCGAGTTTTTACAAAGACTGCACTAAAGACAGCGAAACTGCCCAGAAGACGGGCAGGATACTCCATTATTATCACAGTTATTAAAAACAATTAGAATTACAGAAGTCACAGCAAAACTAGACTTATTTTTAAATACTGTGTTTAGTATAGCACAAAGATTACAAATTATTTTTTTTCCTGGATTACAAAGGGGTTTTAGGACATAAGCTATCATGACAAATTATTGCAATTCATTTTTCTAAAATGTGAATAAAGCTATGATAGATTATGTGAAAACAAAATAAAAATAAGTTTTCATTAGTCTTAAATAACATTCAAGTAGTATTCAACTCAATCCTTAAAAAACATTATTTATAACATAAATCAAATTAAAAAGCTAAAAAATATTACTTATAATTATGCACGTTGTATCACTGAAATGCATTTTCAAGAAGAAGTTAGTGATTTTACTGGGAGGAAGGAGGAACCAAGCTTTTGTGGGAAATCCCTCTGTTCCAGAAAGTATGCAAAATTAGATAAAATTAGATATAAGATTAGGTATAATTAGAAAGCCTTAGAAAACCCTGCTTACAACAACACGGAAGAAGTTATCAGAGTTCAAACACAAATCAATGACCAGAAATACAATTTACCTACCTGGTACTAGGGGGGAAAGCAGTAGACTACAAACAAAAAACAATACATTGAAATGATCTTAAAAGTAGTTACTGAAAGGGAATCAAACAAATTTTAAAACGATCTTCACTTTTAACATTGTGTAGGTTGTGCGTTTTAGCAGCCAAATCTGTAGCTTTTGGTGACACATCAATCCATATGAAGAAAGGAAACCAAGAATGAGCAAACTCTCCCATCCAAGAACCTACAGACCCAACTCTGCATCACTTCAGTTAGTGAGAACTGTCACTGAGTTCAACAGGGACAGGACCACAACCCACTTGGAAAACAGCTTTATCTTATTTGCATTACTTTTAAATCATTCAATAAAAAAATATTCTGAGATTTAAACATGCAGAAAAGTCAAAGACATTAAAGAATAATTCTCACAAAGCAACAATTCTCCACTGTATGGTGCATTTCTGCTGATAATGTTTAAATGTATTGTCTTGACACGTGTTCATGCATGGTTTTGCCTCTGCTGTGCATTCAACTGAATGAGTAATAGACTAAGGATTTCTTCTAAGCATTGTGCTCACTTAAGATAAATGTTTCACAGTACACAGTGCCCTGTTGTTTATGGAAGTTTCAAAATGGTACTCATGATCTACTGAGTGCATTTTCAACTTCCCACATTTAGTAAGGCATTCCAAAGCAAAAGACAAGCTCCAAAGAACTTAGTATGAAACTAAACTGTTATAAAAACAGAAGCCCTTGGGGAAAAGAGCATTTCCCTAACGTGTTTTACATAACTTCTTCACAGACTTGTTCCTGTTATGTGAAATATATTTACCATTATGATATACAGTATACTACAGTTGTTTCTTTGTGAAGTTTATTAAGTTATCCACTTTTTTTTTTAAGAACAGTTGAAAACCAGAGTTCCAGACCATGGGCAATCCTAGATAAAAGCAAATATCATGCCAGAGCAAATAAAAAAAGACCCAGTGGATACAGAGGAAGTGACAGGAAGTTTTGGAAGAAACAAACAGAACAGAACAAAAGTTTCAAAGAGCCTGAGCTGCATCATGAAGATTTATGTGAAACATTTTGACTTTACAGTCTTGGAAACTTTGCTTTGGGGATGGGGAGGGAGGCAAGGGCAGGAAGGACTAGAATGGAGAATGCAGCAACAGGGCTTAATCTATTTCTGAACTTTGTGAGTCACATTTAACGTAAGCTTTCAAGTTACACTGTTGGTATACAGTGGTAGCAGTAACAAAAAGCTCCTAAATTCTGTAATTCATTGTGTCATGATAAACACTACCAGGTAACAATCCTGCACACACCCTGCGAACAGATGAGCTGACAAAACGCCAGCTAGAAATAGATTCATGAAATAGTTTAAGGTGATATGGAAAGCTATGATAACCTTATGATATCAGTTAAAGTTTATGATTAATTTGCAGGTAACTATCACATTTGTTAGAGCTGAATGCTGCGAAATCTTACCAGGACTTGAGGACAGAAATAAAGGGACTTTTTTTGGATAAATTACTCAGATTTTCAGTAATGTAACAAATGTCACAAATAGAATAAATTAATTTGTGAGACTATTAGACTAGAGCAGATTTAATGAATACCAATATTGTTTCAGTTCATACAGATGCTGCAGTACCTGTTCTGCAGAAAGTAGTAGAAGGTCAAGTGAAACAGATAATGCCTTTAATGTGCAATTTCTACTTATCTTGGGTATCTATATGATAACACAGTCCTAATGTTATGCTCATTACATTGCTATGAGGTACAAAACATATTATCTCTATTTGTCAGAAAGCATTAGACAACTTACCTAAAACACCCTGTGGTAGACTGTACATTTCCTAAGTTTTTGTTCACATCTTAACTATTCTTTTCTACCTGAAAAGAAAAATGCTCAGGATCACTGATAATTCTGCTTACCCTTGCTTGGAGAAAGGAAGTTATAGCCTAAGGAATAAAATGAAATAATTTCATTTGTCAAAAACCTATGTATTCTTGACCTTGGTGCTGCTAGAAAAACGAGACTCCCATGAAGAAGAAAACTACAGGATGCTGACTTAGTGCCTATGCTTGATCAAGGGCTGTTCATAAGTAATAGCAGAACTGTACACACCAAGGGATTTGTAAACTTTTTTAAACATTAATTTGCTCATATACCTTCATCATCCAGACTATACCCACTTCTATAAAAGCTTTTATCATGTCCCTTCTTGAATCCCATCTTCCCTCATCAGATTCACAACCACAGTGTAATAAATAGCTTTAAGGGTAACCGCCATCCTCCACCTCGCATAACCTAACGATCTAACGAGAAAATGATATTTCAAATACATTTCAAGTGTATCACGTTTTCTTTCAAATGAAAAAGCCAGACTGCAAGAACTGACTTGACATTCAGCTCTGGTTCATACCAAAGGGAAATCCTTACGACTGTGAAGGAGAGAAAGTAGCATGTTTAAGTCACAGATGTAACTCCCATTTACCTTTTTGGAGAGCTCCCACAGAAAAAGGAAGACAACCACAAATCAGAAGTGTAACATAGCCAAAACTCCTCTATAGCCACAGGAAAGGTGCAATTATAATTTAGCAACAAAACAGCAACTCCCCTAGGCAGAACTAAATCACAAACATCATATTGAGAAACAAAAATCACTCCTCCTTTCCCTCTACCCTCAGGCTTATAATTAAAGGAAACTCAAAAGAGATCCTTTTTATTTCTATTGCTTGAAAACAAAGAGCCCTGTTGAGTCGGGGAATACATATCTCAATTTCCACCAGAAAATCCTTCTAGTCTGCTCTGAAAATGGATTCCAGACGCAGAAGGCAAGGAGATAGAAGACAATATTTTTTTTTTTAATCAGATCAGTAGACCTAAGTTGTTAAAAAGCACGTAGACCTTCACGACTCTCATAAGAATTAAAATAACCTGATTATGTTAAAAAGCTAGATATTTTTAGAGAAAAATGTAATTAGCACTTAGAAGTGATGGGCCTTAATCATTATGGAACTTAAAGAACAGCTGTGGGAAAGCAAAGGGCTGACAGGAAGAATAATGACAAAATGAAGTACCAAATTTATGTTTCTGTTGAAACCACAGTTTTTAAGTGTCCACGCGAGTTAAAAAAGTTAAGCTCTGGGCTTATGTTTTGCAGGCAGACTATCAGTCCACTTGGATTGCTTTGTGAAAATATTCTCCAGCTGCTGACTGGACATTTCTGTCCTTCAGCTTCTAAGAGCCGCTCTAATGCCTAGTAACTGTTTGGGTTCATCCCAGTAACTTCCATGAATACATTTGGTATATTGAGGAAGTACATCACATTCTGGAATGGGAATGAGTAGGATCCATAGATCGTGGTCGTTCTGCTGCAGAGGGCATTTGTCATGCAAGACTCAGACACAGTCTGATTCTGCTTGGTACTCACAGACTTCCAGGAAGGTTGTTTCTGATGGGGCACCACCTGAAAGCGATGAAGGGCAAATGGAAGATTCTCGGAAAGCTTCATTTCAAAGCACAGGACTTTTTCAAGGATAAGGGGATTATTTAACTATTTTCTGGAGAGGTTCTAGCATGGTATAGTACATCACAGGCAGAGATGTACAATCAGTACAGGTTTTCTTTTAGAATTACAATAAGCTTTGCGATGGTATTCTGGTAGCTCATTCAAAAGGCTGTTTCCTTGTTGGTATATGGTCATCCCTATAACGACGAGGGAAGCACTATAAATGCCCCCTTCAGAGGGGATGCAGTGTTATCTCCAGACCTAACAATACACCTTGGGGCTGTTTTGTTGCACTTAGAGCAATTAATTGTGCAACTACATGTACATTGGTCCAAACACCATTCTGTTTGACAGGTGTGTTCATAACAGCATGTAACCAGAAACAGCTTAATGGAAGAGTAGCAGCTATTAAATTTCTAGAAGCTAACGAAGTAATCCAGGCTTTTGATAGAGAACAGCTTTAACATCCTGATTTTAGGAACAGCACAAATTTGTTGATATAAGTTTCCAGAGTTTCTTTTTTAAAGCAGCTGAAGGATAAAGGCTTGTATTCCTGAAAGCTTGTCCACTTCTCTCTTCCTCTGTATGATTCAATCTAATAAAAGACACAGCCACTCTTTACTAACTATACCACCTTCCCTTGGGATGCTCTGCGACAGCAGTATTTAGCTGTAGTTTGCACTGCACCATGCTATCATTACACTGCACAACAAAGCCCTTCAAACTGGATATGCAACCTCTGTGAACATATGCTGCTTTACCACAACGGAAGACTGAAAAAGAAGGATTGCCAACAACTATGCAGCTACCTTTTCTAGTGCACTGCCACATACGAAGGGCTGAATCTCTACTTCCTTCGATTTTCCAGTCAAGATTTTGGCTAAACCTATCCAAAAACACTTGGAAGTAATCTCAAATTAACTACTTGGTTAAACTGTGGAATGAAAATATTCCCATTTTAGATTTAGTTCAGGTTAGTCTTGGTTTAGTTCAACACCTTTATCTTTCAAACACAAAAAAAGATGAGTTTAAGAAGCTTGTTCACGCTGACGAGGACACATCAGCCACATGGGGACAGAAGCTGGCACACTCATTTTGCTTTCAGGCAAGTTTAACCTACTTTACAGCTCTTTTATAGAGACCTTTATCTGGTGCTTATTGCATAACTCTTAGTGAACTTTTCTAGGTCTTTCACCTGCTCACAGTCATTAGCAGACCAGAAGCTACTTGCTGATGACGTAGTTCAACTTCCTTCTTTCACATGGCCCACCACATCTTCCTTGAGCTCTGACAGCCTGAGAAGATGCCATCCCAAACTAAAGATCTACTTGCTGTCCAGTCTGTCTACAGAAAGCAACAGCTTTGGGAGACAGGCACACAGTTACTGACTCTTATGCACAATTTCTCAAAAAAGCCACATGCAGAAGGGATCAAAAGGACACAGCAGCTTTGTAACACCCGATTCTGAAATGCAAAGAGTTACAGTAACAAGTTGGTAAGCATTGTCTACCAAATACATATATACACACACACACACTATTAAAAGCTTGCACACACAGCCCGATATCCTTTCAAACATACAATCATTGTAACACGTGTTTTAAAAAAAAATGTAGGCTGATCTGACTCAGAAAAAAAAAAAAAAAAAGGCAAAAAAGGCAAGGCCAGCTCCTGCAAGGGAACGTAAACACTCCTAGGCTTTGGTCTTTCACAGAAATAGTGCATGGCCACACAGGCTACAGAACATCCTCAGGGTGCTCTAGACAAAGGTGGACTTGGTAACTGGAATAGAAATGAAAGAGCATCCTTAGAAGATTCTAGATATAAGCTACTGCTGTAGTTAAGACCAAGACCATAATACAAATGGCATCCCTGACGTGGTATTTTTTGTAATAATTAATTGTGGGGAACGTCATCTTCTAGAGGGCATAGAAACTATCCCCCCCCCCATAATACACTGCTTTTCTTTACTGGGAGAGCACAGTACTGAACAAGAGCACCGTGGTTTGCTGTTTGCTCTCAGTGCGGGAGGGTTATTCCTTCACACAGTGCCCCGCAAAGAGAAGTTAAGCAACCTCGCAGGCTCCCTTGCTGATGCCAAATAAAGGAAAACCGACGGCACCGCACAAAGAAGCCTCTCTCTGTTTCAAGAGCTGTGGATTCAGCCGGAGCTGTTGACCCCCGTGACTCCGAGGCACGCCCCCCCGCAGAAATCAGCGCCTCAGCCGCGGCAGCGGGTTCCCCGCCCGGCGGGGAGGGCCAGGCC